TTTGACACATCCTTCTGTCAAAAAAAGGAGACAATGTTACATGTATGCCCAATGTACACAGCCATGCCCAATTAACAAATTGAAAGTGGTTTAGCATGGTCTGTAATCTTATCGACAATGATATTCATTATCACAGAGGTCAAAATTTGCTACAGACTCATGCGGCCCAGCAAGGTGAATCAGCAAAAACTTTTGAGCAATGTGATGATGAGCATCATTGTATAGAGACCATGCTAAACCCCTGTCAATTCCTTTTTTACCACAATAACGATGTCAAACAAAATGATTTTTTCAGTGATAAAGGCATTGCATGACCAGTTGATGCAAGCAGCGTTGCTCATGCTCTTATCAACAACAGCAAATTGGCCAATCAAATTGCAACATTACTGCTGATTGTAGAAAAGAAATGTTTCGAAAATACACATGGCATCTAGTAATAAAAAATTCCCCAATTTCAAGGGCCTGTATTCATGAATAAACACTAAGGAAAAAAATTTAAGTTTTCGCTAATTAATGTTAGTAGTAGCTGGAAATAGGCTAAAGTAACAGGAGAATATCATTCATTGGGAATAAAAGATAAGGCTGTGTTTAAATGCTAGGTAGTCAAATATTTTCACAGAATTTCTACTGAAAGATTATTCTTTAGAGTATCAAATATTCGTTTAGAAATAATAATTAAGTAATTCCAAAAATTATTTTGGCTTTTTACTGCAGAGCACAAATTATCAGAGCAGATGTATGCTATAAAACTGCAAGGTTTTCAACAACTCTGAAACATTTCTCACCTAGCGATTTCATAGGATCTAACTAAATGCTTAGAAAATTTGTCCTCTAAAACACCACAATAATTTTTGGAGTAGCTTGGCATTCCTAAACAATCAGTAGGTTTGCAAGAGAAAATTTGGGGGAAATCAAAATTACTTTACTTTAGTAATAAGAACTTGGTGTTTGATCAAGATACCAGATAAGTTTGAGTATTCTCATTAACTGTTTGCTGGAGAATGGATGGATATTATTGGGAGAAGTGACATGTTAATCACTTCTGGGAGTCAGAGGGTTAATGAACAGCCTGTGAAAGTTACCACTCACTCATAGGAACATTTTTACTGACAGTTTTGAAAGACTGTTCCTTGTAATACAATAAATAAAATATATACATTTTTAACACCGGTGAAAATGTAGTCAAAAACTGTCGACCTCCTTGAGAAAGTTGAGCACTTACCGTTGCTTCAGAGGCAAAAAACCGAGCCTTCACCTACGAAATAAAAGCATTCGTTCGTAAGATTCAGGATTAATTACTAACCAAAGGAAACAAATACGAGCAACTTGTACTCCCTAATATCATATTGAACTCAATCTGGATTCATTATTTCCCATATTAATCAAAATACGAAAATAATCAGTTTAAAATCATATTACTGTTTTGATTTTTGATTCTCTCGTTCTATAACTTCTATAACTTTCTGATTTTAACAAATCACAACCGATACGATAGTCCTAACTGTTTGAGAAAGATGTACGATTATGTAAGCTTTTCACTTCTTCGTGATTGAGGATTCTCGTTTCGTAAAAATTAACAAAAACTTAAATTACAGTCTAAACATCAAGGTTGCAAATCTTACATTACGAGAAAGAAGACGAAGTCCAGATCGCTGGATCAACAGTGTCGCTAAACCCATTTTTCGAGCTAAAACATCATAGTCCGTATATCTCAGGAAATCTTTTAAAGTAATTTCTACCAGGCGCACGTGAAGGAGTTTGCGCATAACCAGATAATGACTACTGCTGTTGACCAGTTTTGTGGAAAAAAAAAAGAAGCCGGCTCCAAACACATACCACGTGCCATATCAAAATGTACATTTTAAAATTTTTACTAGAAACTTCAATTTATATTTATTAGCGTTCCCAAGAGTAACCCTCCGTTCATTGGCTCTATGATACGACTTTTAAGATACGACTTTACGCGCCGCCATTTTTAAAAACAGCTGAGTAACCAGGCCCAATACCCGCAGAGGGCGCGGTTCAATTTGGTTCTTGTAAAAAACAGAAAACCATAATTTGAATCAAGAATAGTTTTACTTGTGACTCCGTCTCCTACGTGTAAATACAGATCACCAAAAGATAGATCAAAGTGACACTATGATGAACTCGTGGATATACTGCACAGAATACATGGTACCGGATTTAACTAAAAGCCAATGACCCTGAAATTTCAAGAAATATAATTGAACAGTTATTCCCACAAGAGTCGCAACAAATTCATCAGCCATATTCAATTTAATAAATCGACACTCTTGGTCTGTACTCTTATCTACAACGATATTCATCATCACAGTGGTCAAAATCTTGTGGACTTACTTGGCTGCGCCTCGTGAGTTCGCAACAAAGTTTGAGCAAAGTGATAACAAGATCTAACAAATATCGTTGTCGATTAGAGGACTGACCACGCCAAACCACTTTCGACATATTTGTTACCACAATATTGACGTTGAATAAAACGATTCTTCCAGTGCGTGACTAGAGTTCGTGACTGTGCTCTTATCGACAACGGCATTCCTGCAAGTTGCGGTAAAATTTATTATAGGACCCGTCCGGCCCTGCGTGCGTAATCGTAAGGCCGAAAAACCATGGAGAAAGACGACGTGAAAAAGTGGTCCGGCCCTTGTGTACTTGTAAGACTTGATTGCAAAAAGGGAACGAAACATTGTTCGCTGTTGTTGCGAAAAAATGAGTGGCAACAGTAGACAAAAATGAGTGATAAGTCACGTCTTCCGATAAATTGTGAGTTTCTTGCTCAACCTGTGTTAAACGGTAACCCCAATTGAGGTCTCTACAAGTAATTCGTCTGGAACTTAACCTAACAAAGCTGGACAACTTAAACGAGGATGACTCATTTTTATAATGACTGATACAGTGTAATGGCGGACAGTTAAAACGAAAATTTGTTACTTACTGAAAATAAGAAAAGAAAACTGTCTTTTCTTTGCAGTACTCAGGGGGGCGTAATTTCATCAAAATGAAATCATAATCAGGTGAACGAGAAGATATTTTCCTCTTTGTCCTTACCTCGAGAAGCTTCAACTAAACGTTCCTGTAAGATAGATTCCTTTGACGCATGGTAACCTCACAGAAGATTACCCTCCCAACCCTTCCCCGACCCCAAGTCTTACTTGTTACAACTCTTGAGTAGTCTACACCCACAAACCAAGTACAGTAAACAATGTCGCCAGTAAAAAAAACCTTTATTACAAAATCTTTGCGGTTTTATTTACATTGAGCATAGCATGTCACTCCAATGATTAAAAGTACTTTGCCTACCTGGTATCTTTGACCCAAATTAAGATTTCACTTGGAACTACTGATTTCGTTTAAATATAAAAATCTACTAAAAATTAATGAAACTATTAAAGTTAATGAAACTAATGAAAAGACAGCTTTAAAGCTGGTCGGTGTCTCCGAATTATAGCTTCAAGACTAGCTGCCATCTCATCCTGATAAACTGACAGAGGAAGTTCTAGTGTGGTTAGCTTACAGCTCGGATGCTGTAAAGCTTCACATAGACTGGCAACACCGATATCAGTGATGTCAGTATCCTCCAGATCTAGTGTGGTTAGCTTACAGCTCGGATGCTGCAAAGCTTCACATAGACTAGCAACACCGATATTAGTGATCTCACAATGTTGCATACGTAGAGTGGTTAGCGTACAGTTTAGATGCTGTAAAGCTTTACATAAACAGGCAACACTGGTATCAGTGATCAAATTACAGAGCATACTTAATGCAGCTTGAATGCTGTAAAGCTTCACATAAACTGGGAACACAGGTATCACTGATCCCTCTAAACGAAATACATAGAGTGGTTAGCTTACAGTTTGGATGCTGTAAAGCTTCAGAGAGACTGGCAATACCGGTATCAGTGATGTTATTACCCTCAAGATATAGTGTGGTTAGCTTACAGCTTGGATGCTGTAAAGTTCCACATAGACTGACAACACCGGTGTCAGTGATCTCACTAAACCCCAGGTTTAGTGTGGTTAGCTTACAGCTTGGATGCTGTAAAGCTTCACCTATACTGGCAACACCGGTATCATTGATCCCACTAGAATTCAGATTTAGTGTGGTTAGCTCACAGCTTGGATGCTGTAAAGCTTCACATAGCCTGGCAACACCGGTATCGGTGATCTTAATATCATTCAGACTTAGTGTGGTTAACTTCCTTACCAATAATCGATTAATAAAATCAACATGTTCAACACTCCAGTTAATGTAAGATAATATAAGTTCAGACACAAGACAGTGTTCATTCTTCAGTGAATTAAAGACTCGTTGTATTCCAGACAGTGTTAGATGTGGTCCGAAAAGTCCTAACCTCTCAACTGTGACAAACTTATCGGTATACTTGTGTTGTACCTCTCCAGCTTCCTCTTCATTTAGTTCACTGATAATGTCCAATACAAATGATACCGTAATGCAGTATTCATCTGAGTAACAATCTAAAGCCATGACACCGTGTGAATTACAAAACGCTTGGGGATTCTCCCTCAAGAACTGTTTAGCGAATTCTTTGTTTCGATACTCATTAAGACACCTCATTCTAAGATAAGGAGGCATAAAGGGTGAATCTATCAATTTTTCCATCATTTCCTCGTTTGCGTCACGTGAGAAAAGGCCAGCCATGAATTGGTAAACCATTTCAGAGCATTTCGCATCGGGAACACGATTTTCCCTTACAAACCAACGAGCGGCCAAGAATTCTTGGACGGTCAGATGTGTGAAGCTAAAGTGCTTCGTGGTTGTAATCAATTCGGTTCTGAAAGGCTGACCACAGTAAAGAAGACCGCTACCTTTCAGTTTGTTGACTTCTTCCAGTTCAAAATCGCGCTCCATCTCGCTTTCATCAAAAGTTGGCTTTCTTTCAACCAGCAGTTTAGCCGCTAATTTTGATAATTTCTCCAAAGTGTTCTTGATGACAGGAGGGGGCTTGAACTTCTCAGGAATTTCTTTTTGTCTGTATTCTGACTCGGCGCAGTGCTTGAGTTAAAAAATATCAACAAGTTTGGTATAAATGTCGGTTATTGAGACAGGAAGGTCATCAGAATTTTCTGATTCGGTTAGGGTATACTCCATCTCGAAGCACAACAGATAACAGAGCATAGGAATATGAGCAAAACTGACAAGATTCTCATTGTTCATGACATGTTTAAGTACAGCGTTCTTCATATTTTCGTTTTTCTTGAAGTATTTCTTTATGTACTCTTTGACTTGTTCTGCCGAAAAACCAGCAATTTCTACATACCGTTTATAACGGATTCCTCCCATCTTGTCCGATTCATCAGGTCGCGAGGTAATCATGACGATAGCCCCTTGCAGGATTTTTCCATTGATGAGTTTTGAACACAGTGCGGCCACCGGCATTTTACGATTAACGTCATTGGGACGCCGTTCTTCTGAGTTTCCATCCATACTGGTTTTCTGAGAATATTCATCATAGCCGTCGAGAATTATCATTACTTCCTTGGAATGCTTTACAATGTACTCAAATGTTGATTCGTGACTGTTACATTTGTCATTCAGTACTGAGGAAAAATTTAAGATTTCTCTTAAAGTCAAATGCTTATTCTTGAGCAAATTCAACTGACGGAAAGTAAGCAAATACACAAATTTTAAATTGGGGATTTCAGTGCTTTCTAGTGCTCGAAGTAATTTGTTGTTAGCCCAATCGCGAATCACCTTTTGGCAAAAAAGGGATTTCCCAATCCCTGCTTTTCCAACGACAAGAATAGAATTAACACTTTCCTGATCATCACTCATGCCAAGAAGTATTTCACTGCAGTGCTTGACTGGAGTACCACTAATTTTCCCGTAGTACTCAAGCTCTTTACTCCTTGAATAATATGTCTCGTCATTCCTAATCAGGGCTTTTCTTCCATGTTGTATGAGAAGATTAGTGAATATTTCGTCCGTTTTCGCGTTGGAAATCGTGCGAGAGGCAAGCAGTTTGGGTTGGAACTCCGTATGGTACATAATTGAAGACTTTAAAGCTGAAGTGTACTTATGGCTGAAATATAAAAAAGGAACATACTTAATAAATAATATGAACACGAGGATAGCAGTTTAAGTACTATCACTCTTGTTCCACGGGGTTTAACTGTTTTGAGGGCAGGTCAATCAACACACAAGCGCTTAAGACAAAGATTTTAGGCTATATTGGTATTACTCTTATTGATGAAAAAAGTATAACAAACTAAAGGCACATTAATACCACACATAGTTCTAACCCTTAGAAGCTTAGTCTTGAATGTAAATTTCAAAGTCTAGTGTCTGACAGAGAAACAATTCCAGTATTGGATATCAGAGCCCCAACTCACGGACCCTTAAATGGTTAAAAATCGGTGGTGGCGTCAGATCCACTTGTCTGACACCCAAATTCTTGAAACAACAGGATCACATATCACCATCCAACATGGAGCAACTAACAATTACCGTTCCAGATATAGGTCTTGGTCTACTGTGTTTTCAGAAAAAACACAAAATTTCTGTGTTTTCTGAACAAAAATTGTGACCCCCTTCTATATAAAAATCCTGGATCCACCCTTCAAAATCGTCTTTACTTGTCAACATTTAATAACAGTAGTTCAAATAGTCGTAAATAAGTTCACTGTTTATCGTTACCATTCACATGTTCACTATTATTACATTTATTATTTCACTATTAAGTATTACACTCATCAAAACATGTAGGACTCACCTTGAGAAGGCAATTCATTGGCACCTAAATTAAATAATAAACAAAAAGAAGTGTTGTCTCTTTAAACCAATTTACTTAAGAAATTTACTTACAATCTGATTCATTCGTCTCTACTAATATTATGTCAGGTTCCAAAAATGGGTAAAAAACAACAACAACAACAACAACAACAACAACAGAAAAAAAACTGTAAATACATGTATATGTTCTGGCAGTTATCACTTCCCTGTGCATTCAATTAAGTATCAACATCAAAATACAGTTACACATGCAGTACTGGATAATTCTCTGTTCTTAGTTTAAAACAATTTGATGTGTTGCTTAATTTGCCCAGGAACATATATCAAATCACTAAATGGCAGATGTCATTGGCCTCCAAATTTTCCATTTTCTGGTTGTGTTACATAAACCAAGCTAACTATAGAACACAGGCATGTTCACCTGGCTCATGAAGTGAATTGTCATTCATCAGCATCACTTGATTTAACCACAAGTTTTTTCTTCCACCACCTTAAGAGGCCTTGTTAAACTTACTAATACATAAACTTAAAATAAGGGTAACTTAATTTTCTATTTGTATACAAAATAATAAATGATCTTGATTTGTAATCCATACAAGAATATGCTATGGGAACTTAGATCTAAGTCAGACCTATCCTGGTAAAAAGACAAGATTGAGACAGGAAGCAATACCTGCATTAAAGTGAGGCCAATCTTGGAATATGACTGGATCATTCAAAATGTTGGCCACAACGGATGCTGCCATCACACAGGCAATTTGTTTCCATTTCTTACTTGAAGACTGCATTTCATCTACAAAGTCTTTGATGCCCTTGACTACCACCCATTCTGTCTTAAAATCATGGGCTGCAGCATACACTCCTTAAACAAAAAAAAACACTCATGTCTGTTAACTATATTGCTAATTTTGGTAGAATCCTTAAAATAATTGTGCGATGAAAGCTTAAAAAGATTCACACTCTAGCTGTTTGTAAAAATGCACATCCCAGAAAGACATTAGTTAGTAACAAAATCTAATTTTTTTCAATCAGTACTTTAAAAAAAATTGTACACCTTGTTTTATAAGTAACTTTCAACATTTCTCAAAAGACAAACTTTTGTCAGCTCCAGTCAACCCTTTCACTCCTAAAATCTCTTTGGTAATTCTCTTTAGTGTCTGTCGTACAATTCCTATGATGTTACAGGTGGCGTAGTTGGGAGAATTTGGTTTTGGATCACCCAATAATTTCCTAATTGACATTTTCTTTTTCTTTTCCCATTACTTACAGTAATATAGTTGTATCTACTTGATATCATATTGATACTGTAAGGAGAAATTCTGTCTTGGTCACTCATTGTAACGAGAGCACACTCGGAGATCACGTGCACCTCAGGTGACACATGATACAGCGGTCGATGTTATCTAATCGCCAAAGGTTTTAGATCACATATATCTACATGAGAGCGCACTTAGTTTACAAATAAAGACTGTTCGTTACCTAGAAATCGTGTGTTTATGGTAGAACGAAACATGGTACCAGGAGTGTAGCCTCTTCGACACGATGACAACTACACCACCTCAAGGTTCAGCGAGTGTTCAAGCGCCGACGCCATGTTATGGAATACAAAGCAATTTACCAATTCCGTCGCGATTGAATTTGGCAGGAAATATTTCAGAAAACTGGAAGAAGTGGAAGCAAGTGTGGGATTCGTTCGAAATCGCCTCACGTCTTAACCAGCAAGAAGATAAATACCGTGTAGCTACTTTCATTACCTGCATTGGAACCGAAGCCCTCGAAGTCTACAATGGTCTTCCGTTCGAAGAAGAAGAAGACAAGAACGTAATGAATACAGTTCTGGAGTTGATGGAGAGGCATTGCATTGGCCAAACAAATGTCATTTACGAGCGATACTGCTTCAATAATAGAAAACAAGAAAGCGGCGAATCATTTGACACGTATCTCACAGCGCTCAAAACTCTCGCGAAAACGTGCATTTTTGGTCCACTCACCGACGAATTAATTCGTGATAGGATCGTCTGTGGAATTTGTGACACGGGAACTAGGAAGAAATTACTACAAGAGCCCAAATTAAATCTTCAGAGGTGTATCGATGTATGTCGATCAGCCGAAACAACTGCATCGCAAATGAAAGTCATGAGTGGAAGAGAAGAAGTCAACGCACTCAACCACAAAGAGAAAAAAGACGGCAGAGACGCCAGTCCTAAGTTAGTTAATTGCAAATACTGCGGCAGAAAACACGAGAGATCAAGAGATAAATGCCCAGCGTTCGGAAAAGAATGTGCGAAATGCGGCAAAACAAACCACTTCGCCAAGCTATGTAAACAGAAACTTGGTGGGCGACAACGAAGAAAAGAACGGATTCACCGAGTGCGAGACGCAAAAACTTCGCAGGATTCGAGCGATGAAGAGTACTGCTTCACGATTTCATCCGAAAATCTGGAAGAACAAAGTGTCAAAAGTGTCAGTAGTCAACCCATCAAATCGAAAATCTTCGCAACAATGGAGATCAAAGGTCATCCCGTTCGTTTTCAAGTCGACAGTGGCGCCACCTGTAATGTGATAAGCAAAAACGATTTACCGAACGAGTGCCCGATCGCGCATTCGAAACAAGTCCTCAGCATGTTTAACGGATCGAAAATGGAAACCATTGGTAAATGTCGTGTTAATCTGGTAAATCCCAAGGTTGATGAAGAATGCGAAACAGAGTTTGTTGTTGTCAATAACGACTGCACGCCACTGTTGGGTTCCAAAACGGTGCAGAAAATGAAATTAATCAAAGTGCGTTACGAGAATATCTCATTGGTACAAGAAAAGACAGAAACAATGGGCCTAACGATGCAACAAATAGCAGCAGATTTCCATGACGTTTTCACTGGAGAAGGAAAATTTGAGAAGAAACTTCACTTAGAGTTGGACACAACCATTGAACCAGTGAAACAGCCTGTTAGAAGGATTCCAGTGGCAATGAAACCCAAGTTAAAGCAAGAGCTCACTCGTCTCGAAGAACTTGGTGTTATCAAAGCAGTTGACACTCCAACAGATTGGGTCTCAAGCTTGGTACTTGTTAAGAAGCCCAACGGCAAGCTTCGCGTGTGTATCGACCCTCAGCCACTAAATAAAGCTTTGAAACGCAGCCACTACCCTCTTCCGGTTATCGACGATCTCCTGCCGGACTTGTCAAAAGCTAAAGTCTTCAGTGTGTGTGACGTTAAAAACGGGTTTTGGCATGTCGAGTTAGATGAAGATTCAAGCTATCTAACAACGTTTGGCACTCCATTTGGTTGGTACCGGTGGCTGAAGATGCCATTTGGCATATCACCCGCACCGGAATATTTCCAACATCGTTTGGATCAAGCCATCGAAGGCCTTCCCGGTGTGCGCACAGTTGCAGACGACATCCTCATCTCGGGTGAAGGTGACACTGTGCAAGAAGCAGTGAAAGATCACGACAAAAAACTGCTAACTCTACTTGAAAGGTGCCGCGAAAAGGGAGTGAAACTGAACAAGGAGAAGTTCAAGTTGAAGATGACAGAGATCCCCTACGTTGGTCATGTGTTAACAAGAGATGGACTAAAACCAGACCCATCCAAAATAGACGCCATCAAAGGCATGAGGCGACCAACAGATGTGAAAGGTGTACAGCGGCTTGTTGGTCTAGCGAATTACCTGACGAGATTCTTAAAAAAGCTGGCAGACATTTGCGAACCTCTTCGACAGCTAACGCGCAAGGATGCAGAATGGCACTGGAGCGACGTCCATGAGAGCGCCTTTAAGAAGATCAAAGAAGCAGCTTCCCAAGCACCTGTCCTCCGATACTTTGATCCCGCCAAAGAGACTGTACTTCAATGCGACGCCTCGGACACTGGACTTGGAGCTACGCTTTTACAAAATGGTCAGCCAGTGGCATACGCATCGCGATCCCTGACGGATACAGAACGCAACTATGCGCAAATAGAGAAAGAACTGCTAGCCATAGTGTTTGGAGCCGAGAAGTTCAACCAATACACTTATGGTCGCAAAGTGATTGTTGAGAGCGACCATAAACCACTTGAAGTTATTTACCGCAAACCTCTCGTGGCCGCCCCCAAGCGTCTACAACGAATGCTACTTCGCCTGCAGAAGTATAACCTCGAAATTGGTTTCAAGCCAGGCCAGCACATGTATCTGGCAGACACACTCTCTAGAGCACCCCTTCCCAACACCACATCGCGCGATGAAGTGCTAACCATCGACAAAGAAGTTGAAGAAATACATATGGTCGAGTTTCTGCCACTCCGCAAAGCTAGCCTAGACGATATCCGTAAAGAAAGTCTGCGAGACAGCACGATGCAAGCACTTCAGAAAGTCATTCGAGAAGGGTGGCCTGAGACCAAGATTGATCTCCCAAATGACGTCACGCCATACTTCAACGTTCGTGACGAGCTATCAGCGCAAGATGGAATTATCTTCAAAGGAGACAGATGTGTAGTTCCAAAATCCCTCAGACCAGAAGTCCTATCCAGAATCCACCGATCACATATTGGCGTGGAAGGATGCTTGAGACGCGCGAGAGAAAGCGTTTTCTGGCCAGGAATGAACACAGCTGTGAAGAACTTTGTCAGACAGTGTGAAACTTGTCGAACCTTTGAGATCTCCCAGCAGAAGGAAACACTCCACCCACATGAGGTACCTGACCGGCCATGGTCCAAGGTTGGTGTTGATCTGTTTGAGACAAACAACCGACATTACCTCGTGACCGTCGATTACTACAGCAACTACTGGGAAGTCGATAGGTTGGAGTCCAGTACAACATCTAAAGCTGTTATTTACAAATTGAAGCAACACTTTGCAAGGCATGGCATCCCGAACACTGTGTTTTCCGACAATGGCCCACAGTTTGATTCGGACGAATTCAGGAGATTTGCTCGAGATTGGGAATTCAATCATTTAACCTCAAGTCCCGGACATTCGCAGTCCAATGGTATGGCGGAAAGCGCAGTCAAGACTGTGAAAAGGCTTATTAAGAAGGCTAACAAAGATGGAACAGATCCTTGGCTCGCGATCCTCGACCACCGAAACACACCCTCAGAAGGCATGAAAAGCAGTCCAGCACAACGACTAATGAGTCGTCGAACAAGGACCCTACTCCCAACAAGCGAGAAGCTCCTTAAACCCAAACTCGCCGAAAATGTCCAAGAAGGAAAATGGAAGACAAGAACCAAGCAGGCATTTTACTACAATAGAAACGCTCGAGATTTGCCACCACTGAAAACTGGAGACTCAGTGCGCATTCAGCCCACAAGCAACCCCAAGGCGCCCTGGAAGAAAGCCACTGTTCAGGAACAGGTGAACATGCGATCCTACAAAGTCCTCACAGAAGATGGCTCTGCCCTTAGACGAAATAGAAGGCATCTGAAAGCAACTACAAAAGAGTCTCACACGCCAACAACCCAGATGCCCAAGCAGACAGAACTTCCCTCGCAATCTAAACACATTGAACAAGAAACTAACGCCAGTGGTCACTCCAGCTCAGAAGTAGCGAAGCCACAGGAGCCAGCGATCGAGCAGCCTGCGACTGATCTAGCATCGCAAGCTTCCAAAGGCAACCAGACTCGCAGTGGTCGAATAACGAAGCCCCCCTCCTATCTGAAAGACTTTGTTCGTTAACCTGAGTCAGTGTCATGAGAGACAAAGACATTACCGGACTTGACTAGTTGATTCTTTTGGATAGTGGTTTTGATTTTTTTTGTTTCTCATGTTTGTTTTGATTGTTCCGTTGTTTTCGTTTTGTTTCTTATGAAAGAAAGGATGTAACGAGAGCACACTCGGAGATCACGTGCACCTCAGGTGACACATGATACAGCGGTCGATGTTATCTAATCGCAAAAGGTTTTAGATCACATATATCTACATGAGAGCGCACTTAGTTTACAAATAAAGACTGTTCGTTACCTAGAAATCGTGTGTTTATGGTAGAACGAAACATAAGTCTCAGCCTATTGTGGTTTCAGAAAAAAAACAAAATTTCTGTGTTTTCTAAACAAAAATTGTGACCCCCTTCTCTCAAAAATATCCTGGATCAACATTTGATTACAATATCTGATTATGAGAGTTAAAATAGTGGCATATAAGTTCACTGTTTATCATTACCATTCACATGTTCACTATTATTACACTCATCAAAACATGTTGGACTTACCTTGAGAGGATAATTCATTGGCACCTAAATGAAATAATAAACAAAAAAATAATTAATGTTGTCTCTTTAAACAATTTACTAAAGAAATTTACTTACAATCTGATTCATTCACTTCAAACTAATCATATGTCAGGTTCCATAAAGGGTTAAAAAGAAAAAAAAAACAAAACCATAAACATGTGTGCTGGCATTTATCACTTCCCTATCCATTCCAATAGTTTCACCATCAAAATACAGTCGCACATGTAGTACTGGATAAATCTATTTTTTTTTAGTTTAAAACAATTTGATTTGTCGCTTATTGGGACATAAATCAAATCACTTCAAATCACTTTGGCAGACGGCAGGGCGTGAAATTGCGCCTAATACAGGCGCCAATGCGCCTAAATTTTTCACTTTGGCGACCAAATCCTGAAAGTTAGCCGCCAAATTGGCGACTAGTACGTTTCATCATAACCTTACCAAGAGATATAGTGAATTAAAAAGATTTGCAAAGATAAATCCGCGGCAAACTTCCTCGTTAACTTTGTTTCCAAAACGTAGCACATGCATCTCGATCGATAACTAGACGCCATCTTGGATTTAGATGAGCCTGAACGTTGTATATCATCCATCCTAGTGTCCACTTTGTAGCACATTAAAGATCTTTTCCCTAACTTAATTTTGGAGGGTCTATCTAGAACACTGACAGCGTAAAGAAAGATTTTGTTTGTCTTTGAAAATGGTGACCAACTTTTTTTGAATTGGCTACCACTTTGAAGAATTTAGGAGCCAAGTGGCTATCAGAAAAAAAAGGTTAATTTCACGCCCTGCAGACGTCATTAGCCTCTGAATTCTCCATATTTTGGTGGTGTTACATAAACCAAGCTAACTATAAAATACAGGCCAGTTCACCAGGCTCGTGGAGTGAATTGTTATTCATCATTACATCACTCAATTAAACTACAAGTTTTTTCCTCCCACCACTCCCATGAGTGACCAAGACAGAATTTCTCCTTACCATATCTATACAATATCATGCAGACAAGTGATGAGAATAAAGAAAAATAATAATTATGGGATTACTAGTTGATCTGATACCACATTCTCCAAACTAACATAATGAGAATCATTTGGCAGACAGTAAGGAGAATTGTCAACAAGATCTTGGGAGTTAAAGGGTTAAGAGGCCTTGTTTAAGCTACTGGAATGTTAACTCAAAATATGGGTGACTTAATTTCCTATTTGTGAACAATCACTAAATAAATCATCTTGATTTATAATCCATAAAAGAATATGCTGTGGGAACTTAGATCTAAGTCAGACCTATCCTTGTAAAAAGACAAGATTGAGACAGGAAGCAATACCTGCATTAAAGTGAGGCCAATCTTGGAATATGACTGGATCATTCAAAATGTTGGCCACAACAGATGCTGCCATCACACAGGCAATTTCTTTCCATTTCTTACTTGAAGACTGCGTTTCATCTGCAAAGTCTTTGATGCCCTTGACTACCACCCATTCTGTCTTAAAATCATGGGCTGCTGCATACACTCCTAAAAAACACAACAAAACAAAAAAACAGTCATGTCTGTTAACTATATATTAAGCTTATTTTCTTAGCATCCTTAAAATAATTGTTCAATCAAAGCTCACAAAGATTCACACTCTAGCTGTTTGTAAACATGCACATTGCAAAAAGACTTTAGTTAGTATAGCTGAAAACTTTAACCCTTTAACTCCCTCTGATCTGATTGTTAATTCTCCCTTCTAGCTACTACACATTTCCTTGTAAATTGGTAACGAGATTTGATGTTTGATCAAGGTAATATCTTGTACCTGATGAGTTTCAGTATTCTCACCAACTGTTTGTTGGATATTAATGTATGGACATTAAAGGGTTGATGTGTGTCATACAATTCTTTTGTCTGCTGTTAGTTAGGAGAATTTGGTTTTGGATCAACCAATAATCCCCTAATTGACATTTTTTTCTTTACCCATTACTTGTCTGCTTGATAAAATATTGATACTGTAAGGAGAAATTCTATCTTGGTTACTCATGGGAGTTTCAGGGTTAACAGGGACTGTGATACTATTCCTCAACTCTCAAAATATTGAACAAAATACTTTCTACATTTTTCAGATGACAAATTTAAAATAATTCATGACATCCTGATAAGCACATTCCACTTAATTATCCAGAAGAAGTCTCCTTCACCCATGAAAAATCTTCCTACCTCAGCCAAACATAAAATCACTATACATATACAATATATAATTCCTGCAAATTTGGCATGCTGTATGGTATATGCTATTTCTTGTACCAGTAGAGACAATACCAGAGCAGTGTTTTTAAAAACACTCGCTACATGTGCAAAAATTCTTCACTTGTCAATTATTTGAATTATTATGATCTCACCTCCACCTTCCATTTCAACTGCAATTGCTTCAGGATGTTTCCTAATCATATCTCTGTTTGCCTCTGAGATACTCAGAACCACCCCATCACAGTGCACTTTGGCATTATATTCATCAGCATTTTGTAAAGGTGCCTTCCACCCATCAGCCACATGTTTGATCAGGCTACCAATATCTCTGCTGGGGGGAGTTTTGTGTACAGCTGTTATCAGCTTTGCTGAAACAACCACATCTCCTAACTTGACCTTTTTGCTGTTCAAACCACTGCAGGAACCAACAGAAAAAATAGCCTTGGGTCTCAGTAGCGAGATGGCATCTTTTGAAACGGACAAAGAACCCCCAGGAACATCAGGACCTTTGGAGCACCTCATCAATGCAATTTTCATTTTCTTTCCTTGATCATCACCCATGCACCCAAAGTACACAGGGCCAGTATTGGTGTGGTAACTCTTAAAGGGTTCCTTCAGGTAGGCAAAGCAGCTTAAGAACTCACAGTCCTCCACTGTTAATAAAAGAATATCAACAGGAAGTTCAACATTGCTCCAGGCAAAAGAAGCTTTTGGAAGATCACTCATCAATGGAAGTGTAACATTAAGCTCTGGTGGGCTTGCATTGCTATTCTGTGCTGATGTAGTTTCCCCTGGCATCTTTACTGTCTCTGAAAATGAAGAATGTAGTATTTCATTTTTTTTTCCATTCATTTATTCAAGTTATTAGCAGATCCAAAAGAAAATCAACAGACAATGAAGAAAAAGAAAAGAAAACCAGTAATGAATAATAATTAAGTCAATACACCCATGACCCTGCATAAAACATTTTAAGCCCACACTAACTGATTAAACAATACAAAATTACGCAGGCATACTTGAAGAAAAAAAAGAAACACCTCCAATTGCTCCCCTATTTTCTCTGAGTTTGCATGGTTGTGTCATTCTCTGAGTTTCATCATCTTTCACTCAAATAATCAGGCTTTAAATCTATCATCTTCAGTACAGAATTATATCTTGACTATAAATTTTTTTGTAGACTTCATTCATAACATCAAGAAAAAAAACACAAAACTTTACTTACATATACATTGTACCTATGAATTTCCACACAGAAATTTTGGAGGTAATTTCTTTTATTTCATGATCCACTATATCTAACATTAATCACACAAAAGAGACAAGTTAAAACTCAAAATCAACAAAAGTAAATCACACAAACCTTCCTTCCCTGAATTTTGTTCGTATATCTCAACGGAACTCTCCAGGTCATCTTCCCTCCTGGCCTTTTTTACCTTTTCATCTTCATGTGATTTGTCTGTGACACAGTCTTCATCCTTCAACCACTCTTTAAAAAGCTCCTGGTAGTCCTTCTCACTATCAGCATCCATACAATCAATTTCAAGATCATTGATAACATCACGATAGCAGGCCCCACCAATACACTGAAAGGTGTCTCTGATGTCATTCCAGTAGGAACTGAAAGTTGGATCATCAACTAAACCACTGGTAACATGGCTGTAAACTCTGTCTCTGAGGATCTTGATGCGAGTGATATCAGCTGCTGGAGAGGTGTCTGTTGCCAGAGGAAGGTCATCCTGGCCAGAGGCAGGGAGAGTCAGACCCCAAATATTCCTCAGAAGAAATACCAGTAGAGAGGTGTCAAAGTCCCTTGAGCAAACTGAAGATTTGAAAGTAGGATACAGTTTGCGCCACTGGGAGGTACTCAGGACTCTCTTCTTTCGAAGTGTTTGCAATTTGGCATGATTTTTGGGATCAGTCAGAACTGTGTGAAGATTTCCTGGTGGATATATCCTGTCAAAGATCTCCCTCAGCACACAAGATCCAACATCAACAAGAAGGCGACAGAGCCGCGCATAATTAGAGGTCTCTTTGGTATAAGGATGCAATGGGGTGGCAGAAGCCATGAAATCAAGTCCTCTGTAAAGAAATGCTTGTAATTAATACATGGAAGGCAAAATAACAGAGCACACACAAAAATCATTGCTTTGTTCTAACTTTGCAATACCAGAATATTACAGCACTCCAAAAATGAGTTAAATATCGCACAACAGATCAATAAAATAGGTTTGATGCATCTTCCATTTTAACCCTTTAACCTCTAAGAGCTGTGATTGGCTTCTAATTTCTCCTTACAGTATCATCCTTGAATCAAATGTATGGGTCACAAGAATAAAGGAGATCATCAAAAATTTAAAAAGTTCCTGATTCTCACATCACACTTTATCTACTTTCTCATATTCAGTATATATAGTACAAGATATCCCTTTGACTTGTAGATAGCAGATGCTAATCCAGGCAAGGCAATTTTTTATTTACAAAACAACCTCCCTTTGCTACTTTCAAGACTGAGATTATCACCTGCATATAAGCCTTCAAATGGGATGCAGCAGGCATCACCATCCTTAGGGGAAATGGGGGCATTCTACCCCCGAAAATTATGAAAAAGAATATGAAGTTGCTATGGAATACATTAGTCTATAAGTGAGCATTTCCACTGCTGGAAAGACTTTGAAGCATGTCAAAGGGAACAAGGAGTAAATTATATTTAAAAGGATAATTAATTTCAAGTTATTTAATGAAAGCCGTGGTTTAATTGCTATAAGAAACAATAGTTTCAGCTTGAGAACATAAAATTAAATTTGTTTTCATGAGACTTACACTCAATGTGAAAGACTCGAGAGCTTTGACTAGCGCTTTTAAGTGGGGCAGCTAAATATACGCAGCAGTTTTCAATGTTTTTGGAGTAGAGGTACATACATCAGTTGTTCCTTTCGCCCAAAATTAAGGAGTGTATCATGTTAATCACAGCAAGCCAGCAGTAAACTAGAAAATTGATTTTCAACAACTACTTTGAAAACATATTTCTAGTTTGGAAGCACAAATGAATTCGGCCACAACGGTATTTTGATCGATTTTCATCCCACGGGAACTGAAAAACTGTTCAATGTTTTGCTAGTATTAATTGAAGTAAAATTAATTTTTCATGGCATCAGGCATCCGCGATCTGATGGGCCACCAGGCAAAGCTGATGCCCTTCAAAAAGTTGACTGTTATTTTCGGGATTTCAGTCAGAATATGTTTTTCACGAGTTACGAGGGGCAGAGGAGATACAGTATTATATATAATAATGAATGTAAAAACATTATGCGTTGGTCTCACCAAAAATAAACATATGGTTGGTGAATACGAAGATGTCTCAAAAAAACATGCAGAAACTTAAGGTGCTGCCGAAGCACTAATCCACGAGTTTAAACAATTTGTCTTTTAAAACACATATTTTTCAGCTGGAAGTTGAGCGAATTCAGCCAGATTCGAAAAAATGATAACAAATAAGTGAATAAACATAAAAAACTACCGACTACGGTAAAATGCAACTGTTACGACAAAGTTCCCAAATACTGCAATCCCTAGGCCTTTCAATGCCAAGATCTCATTGGTAATATTCCTCACTATCTGTTTTAAGCGACAAATGTGAAGCATTAATGTAGAGCACGTATGGGTCTGTCGATTCTCCAAGAGAGTCAGGCGAGCATTGGTCAGCCCCAAAACAGGGAGATAGAACGAAAGAATTGAAAGAAATAACAGCAATGCTTGTTGAGTGACTCAATTTGTTCTTTATGTGATGTATACTGATTTTATGCAATCAACTGCATATGTGCGTGAATGTTCCCTTGTTTATAAACTCAGTGGGTTAAACTTACCTTCACAATGACATTTTCTACGTTACTCAGTGTTTACTGTTGTATCTTCGAACAAGGAATGGATTTCTAAATAGAAAAAGATAACAAGTTAACATGTATAGAGAACCTCATGATCAAACTGTCAATCGCCATCTTGTTGTTGGTTGAGGTTGAGCCGTTCGTCTGTTCACGCCAAGGTAATCTCAGTGAAACATTCCTCGCTCTAATTGTTCCATACTTTGATCTATACTTGAGTGCAATGTTTGAGTTCTGTAGAATAAGTATGCATTTGAAGATCAGAAAGGAACAAAAAAACATCTTTCAAGACCGTCGACAAAAGACGCCGATGAAAACATTTCAATTTAAAGGTGCAAGGTATACCAATCGCAAGTGATGAAGCTTATGACAAACATGATACCTAATTCGTGTCATATTACACTTTAAGCTGAAGCGTCCTTAACCAACTCTTTCCTTGAAATGGTTTCATTGTAAGACCTTAAGCACGGAAATTGCTCTGTAAAATCATGCAGCAAACATCGAATTAACTGAGAACTGACATCGACTTCATTTTGCGATTAAGAAATGCTACGTTTAGTTATGTGATGGAAAATTCTCACCAATCTCTTTGTTATCTTTGATTGCGTTACAGAATTACATTCCTCGAGTAATTTGCGCAAATGATGCCAGCAATCAATCGTATGCAATCTATTCGAGGGAGATTTGTAGAGTGCCAGAGACAAAATACCCCATTGGAGGGGTTTCCTTAAAAAAATTGTTAGCGTTTAATAACAGACGATAAGATCACGAGTTAATCAGGCAGAATGCGGCCTATGAAAAGACGAAAACTGATTTCTGAAAATTCCTCTGTCGTCAGATACAGCTCTGTCACTAAGGTTACATCAAATACGAGGAGACGTGAAGAACACAGATAACTGTATGAACACTAGGCCCCGTTTGGTGAGAAATATCAACGAGTTCAACGGATATATGTCCGCAGACATCATCTGTTCCAAAATGCGACGTTTTCCGATAAAATCGTCCATCTGGCTTTTGAATGCATATTGATTATGTGGTAATTTTTAAGTCTTAGAGGATTGGACTCCAGGGTAAATATTATGGCATATTTTAATATGTACATGTTGGTTATTGAAGTAAATGTTGATTTTAGTATGATAAATGGCTTCATGTACAAATACATAAACATACTGCAAGAATTTATACCGTAGGTAGATATGCTGCTCTCAAATGTATTTCTTTTTTCTGATTAGTTTGAATGCCTTAAAGCCTGAACAAATACTATGTGCAATAATTGCAGCCTGCATGAAGAACAAGCTATAAACTGAAGTAAACTGACTTTCTTGGCCCTCCTCCCCCCCTCCCCTATTCTTAATTCCCAGTCCAGACTCCATATTTCCAAATTCCTTGTCTCACATTTCCAATTAAAAATCCGACTGACCGAAAGCTAGAATATCATGACAGACGCTTGTATCCTAATACTTATTACATCTTTAAATCGTGCAAGGAAATCACGTTCATTTTAACAATGCAGCAAAGAAGACAAATCGCTCAGGAATATTTTCCAAGTCTTTCCATTTCAGACCATTTCACCCTCGATATCCGCTTTCATCAATTCTCGAAAACAAATTTGACTCAAGCATGTTTGCGTTATATGTCAGAAAGAAAAAGACCACTTTTGAAATTCAGATTTTACCTACAGTAAAATTTGGCTCACGCATACCAATAAGCTTGCTGAGTTTAAAGAACTGCATGGGAAGCTGTGACAAGTATTATTGACGCGGTAAGTTTCTTTATGTGCGATTCTAAATGTCCCCACATGATTATTTTGCGATGATTTGTTTAAAGCATTCTTCTTACCTTTAGCTTTGAGCTTCTCTCCTGATTTAGACATAGTCTGTCAAACAACGCTTGAAATCAATTTGACTAACAGCTGTTGGAAAAAACTGATATGAATTCAATTCAATCAAATAAACCACTCGGTTTCAATTCTTAATCAAACACCTCAAGTTGAAGGTTGTTCGTCAAATCGTCTGTCTCGTACCCGTGCCTCTAGCCCCAAAAATAATTTTCTACATGTCAACAAGTCAAATGCTCTTAACGAATTTTAAAGACGCTGCATTTAGTTAGCGTCCGTCGATCTGGCGTTGCTTTGTAGTGATGCGATGCTTCAAGAACTGGGGCGTCGTCTGTCAGATCAAGCGACCATGTATACAGACAATCTTACGTCAATCACATTATACTAAAGAATCAAAAGCACTCATCCGGATGACTGAGTGCAACACAACAATGAAATGGCTGTTGTGAAATGCAAATGTTACGAAAAAGTTCCAAAATACTGCAATCCCTCGGTCTTTCACTGCCAAGATCTCATCAGTAATATTCCTTTCTGTCTGTTTTAGGCGATAAATTTGAGTCAATGTACAGTTGGTATGGATCTATCGATTCTCGGAAAGAGTCAGGCGTGCATTGTTTAGCTCCAAAACAGGGAGATAGAACGAAAGAATGAAAGTAATCACGTCAATGCTTGTTGAGGGACTCAATTTCTCCTTTTATGTGACGCACTAATTTAATGTGATCAACTGCGTGGAGGCGTAAATGATTCCTTATTTATAGACTCAGGGGATTATAAGCTTACCTTCGCAATGACCTTCGTTACTCAGTGTTTACTGTTGTATCTTCGCAGAAGGAATGGACTTCTAGAAAAAAAAAAATGACAAGTTAACATGTGCAGGGAACCTCAAACTGTCAACCGCCATCTTGTTGTTGATTGAGGTTGGGCCGTTAGTCTGTTTATGCGAACTAAATCTCAGTGGAATGTTCCTCGTTCTACTTGATCCATATTTTTAACATATTCTTGAGTGCAATGTTTGAATTATGTAGGATGTAGACGCGTTTGAAGATCAAAAAGTAACAACAAAACATGTTTTAAGACTCTCAACAAAGGACACGGATAATAACATCTGGGGTGCAAGGTCTCCCACTAGCAATTGATGGAGCTTATGACAAACACGATACCTAATGAGTGTTTTACTCACACTTTAAGCTGAAACGTCCATAGCTACCCTTCGCTAGCAATGGTTTCAGTGTAAGGCCTTAAGCACCAAAATTGCTTTGTTAAATTATGCAGTAAACATCGAATTAACCGAAGAGTGACAAAGACTTTGACTCAAGCATGTTTGCGTTATAAGTCAGACAAAAAAACTACTTTCGAAATTCAGATTTTACCCACGGTAACATTTAGCTTACACAAACCAATAGGCTTGCTGAGTTTAAAGAACTACATGAGAAGCTGTCACAAGGATTATTGACACCGTGCATTTCTTTATGTGTAATTCGTAAATGTCCCCACATAAGTATTTTACGATGGTTTGTTAAAAGCATTCTTCTTACCTTTAGCTTTGGGCCTCTCTCCTGAAATAGACACGATGTGTCACTCAACGCTTGAAGTCGATTCGACCAACAGCTGTCGGAAAAAAATAATGTGAGTTCAACTCAATCAAATAAAACCGCTCGGTTTCGATTCTCCATCAAATACCTCAAGTTGAAGGTTGTTCTTCAAATCGTCTGTCTCGTACCCGTGCTTCTGGTCCCAAAACTCATTTTCTACATATCAACAAATGAATTGCTCTTTACGAATTTTAAAGACGCTGCATTTAGTTCACGTCCGTAGATCCAGTGTTGCTTTGCAATGCTGCGATGCTTCGAGAATTAAGGAGTCGTCTGTCAGATCACGCGATCGAAGACAATCATACGTCAATCACCTTTTACCAAAGAATCAAAGCACTCATCCGGATGGCTGAGTCCAGCACAACAATGAAATGGCTGTTGTAAAATGCAAATGTTACGACAAAGTTCCAAAACACTGCAATCCCTTGGCCTTACACTGCCAAGATCTCATTAGTAATATTCCTTACTGCCTGTTTTGAGTGATAAATAATCAATCGTGTAGAATCTTTTCAGGGGAGATTTGTAGAATGCGAGAGACAGTGAACCCCACCGAAGGGGTTTACAATAAAAAAATTGGGGGCGTTTAATACCAAACGACGAGATCACGAGTTGATCAGGCGGAATGTGGCCTGTAAAAAGGAAAAAACTAGAAAATTCCCTTGTTGTCATTTATAGCTCCGCCACTAAAATTACATCAAATACGAGAACCCGTAAAGAACACTTATTTGCTGAAGAAATTATTGTAACACGTGACAGATAACTGTATGAACACTAGCCCTCGTTTGGCGCGAAAATATGCGCGGATATTTGTCCGCAGACATTACCTGTTCCAAAATGCGAAGTTTTCAGAGAACTAAACTCGAGGAAAACTGTGAGCTTCGAGGAACAAATAATGTTCAAGGATAAATTTAAGAGCATATTTTTTCGCCAAATAGAGGCTATTTGTAAAGCGCGGGAAACTAAATTGTTTACGATCAGCTACCATTTCCTGCGTGGGATGTTCAGTGTTCTTTAGAACGACTTTATCAACAAACAAACATGTCCATTCTTCTGTAACAACCACATAACGAGAAGATAGAAAAGAAGGGTTCTTGCCTTTTTTCGAAAAATCCATGAAGTCTCTTAAATATTTTTTACATTACTCACCTCCTCTCATATGTCGTAGCTTATTCCAATATCTCACTTCAAAGGAGTTAGCTGAGAAAGAGAGATAATGGAGAATGTAAAAAACTTCAAGAGACTTCTGAATTGTTTGAGAATGGGCCAGAACCCGGGTTTTCTATCTACTAAACGCGCTCTTATCTTGAATTGAATTTTAAACAAATACTTTTAGTCTCTCTAAAATAGTGGACGTTAGGTGTGAAGTAGAAATCATCATTCCAGTCAGGACATCGCGCCAGTTAGTAATATACTGCAGTGCGCAGAGTTATCCATATTAGGTGTTACCTTCCAACAAAATTGTAAATACAGTAGTCACGTGCGCGCGAAGGTAATTAAGGCGAACAAGTCATTATTCGTATTAGGATCTTTACGTAAGGTAGGAATGTCCCAGGAGGAAGTAGATCACCTTTTTAACGCAATAGTTTTACCAAATTTTTCTTACGCTCTGCCGGTTTATGGTGCCTCAGATTCCGACCTTTCTGTAATACAGAATTTTTTAGACCGGTGTATGAAAAGAAAGTTTATGTTCAAGAATGTAAATATCAGGGATTTGCTAGAGAAGGCGGACAAGACACTCTACAGAAAAAGATCAAATGACTCCGAATGCCCGTTCTTCCAGTTTTTACCTAAGGAAGAGAACATGAGGTACAATCTTAGAAATACGTCAGTCTCTGTCCCTAGAATCTACACTGACAGGTTTAAGAACGTTTTTAGTAACAGAATAATTTTTAGATATGATATGTAAATAGTTTTTTGAGTTTATATTGTAACTTAGGATATGTGATTTTATCTTAAGAAATAAAGATTATTATTATTATTATTATTATTATTATTATTATTCCGGTAGATCATTGGATATTTCCCAGCTGGGGAATATTCAGTCACCTGATTCAGATTTAGACCATTCACGCTCAAGAAAAAATTTAAAATTTATTCTATGAGCGCACGTTAGATACGTACGAGATATTAGTTAGTCTAGGAAGCATGTAGCACCGAGTTGGCTCTAACCAATCTCGGGTCACACAAGCGCGGATGGAATGATCGTTTTCTTCAATTTTCCACTTTTCGTAAATGCTAAGGGAACTTGTTAACGTCGTTTATTCAGCTATTTTGCTCAACTGGTACCAAACAAGGAAATTGATCGAGGACATTTTTTGTTAATATATTTATCCTGAACTCAAATTTTTGCTCCGAGTGTTCGAGTTACAAGTGAAAAATTTACTGAGACAACTATCGGTTGAATCAGAAAACTTCAACCGCATACTGGAGTACTGAGCACATTTACAATTAATGTTAACAATTTACTGAGACAACTCTCGGTTAAATCAGAAAACTTTAACCACATGCTGAAGCGCTGAGCACATTTAAAATTATTCTTCTGTGCGGTAGCGACGGGAAGAAACCAATATTGTGGCTACAGGAACAGACTTGTAAGGTAAGCTTTTGTAACTAAAGGTTCTAGTAAAGCGTAGACACTTTAACGCCGCAGAATTTGCAACTCATCCTGAAATTTTGAAGGTAACCGGCTGTTTAACTATTGGGACAGCGTTGTACTTTTTTCTAGACCATAAAACGTTAATGTCAAGTGCAAAATTTTAAGTGAAACTCCAAACGTACCATTCATGAACAAATAGAAAAGCCTCGACTGTGATCTGTTCTGTTGTAAAGCACCGAGGAAGCGGCTAGAGCACGAAAGAATTGTAGGGAGAAACACGAGACCTAATGGAGTGTTTCTCCCCACTTCTTAACTGCTTTACAACAGAACAGAGCACAGTCAAGGCTTCCCTAGTTATTTTATCATAAAGAATCCGTTAAACTCCCCACGCCTTACTTTCAATTTTCAACACCAACTTTATTTCCAAAGCGAATAACAGTGTCGTCAACATACTCTATACTCTAATAAAGCACGCTGCAATGAGCCTATCAGAATCCTTGTTAGAATGGTTCAAATAATCTCATTGGTTGAATAAGACTAAAGCTGTCAAATGTAGAGTAATCAACGTTACATTTGTCACCCAGTACTGAGGAAAAATTTGAGATTTCTCTTAAAGTCACACAGTTATTTTCAAGAAAATTCAATTGACGGAGAGAGAGCAGATACCCAAATTTCAAATTGGGGATTTCACTGTTTTCTCGCACTTGAAGTAATTCGATGTTGGCCCAATCGCGAATCACCGTCTGGCAAAACAGGGATTTCCCAATCCCTGCTTTTCCAATGACAAGAATAGAGTTAACATTCTCCTGATCATCAATCATACCAAGAAATATTTCTCTGCAGTGCTTGACTGGAGTACCGCTGACTTTTCCGTAGTACATGTACTCAAGCTCTTTACTCCTTGAATAATATGTCTCGTCATTCCTGATCAGGGCTTTTCTTCCATGTTGTATGAGAATATAAGTGAATATTTCGTCTGTTTTCGCGTTGGAAATCGTCTGAGAAGCGAGCAGCTTGGATTGGAATTCCGTTTGGCCTATAATGGAAGTCTGTAAAGCTGTAGTGTACACACTTACCGCTAAAGGATTAAAAATAAATGTACTTAATAAATGATATGAACACGAAGATAGGAGTTAAACTACTTACATTCTTAATCCACACTCCTCAACTCTTTCGAGAACAAGCCGATATTAACACACAAGCTTTTAAGAAAATAAAAATCTTCAGCTCTGATCTTAATAATTCGTATCAAAGCAATCGCAACGATGAAATGCGTCGACAGTCACGCTCTGTTTTCAGATTTTTTTGGTCAGATTTTAAATGTTTTGAATGAAAGAGTATAGCAGCTATTTGTTGAAAGAAATGAAGAAAAGCCGTTCTTGTTGTTGCCTGTAATCAGTTGCGGGTAAAAAACGACTATATTTTGCCGTTAAATAAATATCGCCATCACAAGACAAACATCTCACTGAATTGGCATGACATTGCAAAATCTAGAAAACTTTTCACTAAAAGAATCAAAAATGGTTTTTCCATTCCGATAGATTATTTCCCCTACTGCCCTTAAGGAATTAAAGTGAAGGAAGTTGTGCTCTAACAAGAGAATATTTTAAAGACCTTCTGACAAGTAACAATTGGAGGATTAGGATACATTTGCACCAGGTTATTGTTACCTGAAATAAGGTGCCAGTGTTTCATAAGAATCTTTTTGACATTCTGGTTAGCAGGGTTGAAAGTCCTAACGAACGGGAAAATCTTTTTAGATGATTTCGGTTTGTTTCTCAAAGCCGTGTTGCGTGATGAGAACTGGGCATCGGCAAACACCTTTTGGACGAGGTCCTGAGGGTAGCCTCGTTCTATAAGGCGAGATAAAAATTCTTTCTTCCTTAGCTCAAAAGATTCTTTAACCGAGTTTGTTCTCAGTAAGCGTAGTGCCTCTCATTTTACAAAACCCTTCTTAACCGTTTAGCCCCTAAGAGTGACTAGCATTACAATATTACCCCTTAGTCACGCACTAAGGTCATGAGAATTACGGAAATGATCAACAACCACAGAAGCTCTGGATCATTAAGCTAATTCTCCTTTGTCAGCACCTTAGGAAATGTATAGAGAACAGTGTGGAGAGTATGCATACTGATGTTAGGGTGTAAAGGGTTAACACTGAGAAGGTGGCGTGAAGATAAGTGTGTATCCTGGAACGTTTCTGTCAGCTTGAAATATGTTTAAACATCCACGATTTTGCTATCGGTAAATCTCGGGGGAGGAGGAGGGAGGGGGAGCCTTTTACGGGGGAAGGTCTCGTAAAGGAAGAGAAACAAAAGCTTTCTAACTTTATTGAAAACTTGCTCAGTATTATGTTCACCGTCTCTGTAAAACGCCAACCATACCAGCCCAATTTAAAAAAGTAACAACAACGAAATTTTTCCGTTTAATCTGTTCCCATCATCATTTTGCGTCTTTGTCGAGCGGCACTAACAGAGCTGACTCGAGATATGAATTTGAGAAACCAAAGATTAAATGTATAGTCTGTGAACCAATCTAAGTTTGGATACAGCACGGCAACTTACTCCTAAAAGGTTAAAACCGGCGGTGCATACTACATAAGCTGGGTTCTCAAATGGGAAATTTAACCTCCTACTCTATCTCTCGATCCAGCTTTCTACATGTAATTCGTCTGGAACTTAACTTAACAAAGCTGAACAACTTAAACGAGGATGACAAATTTTTGAAATGATTGGTACAGTGTAATGACGGACAGTTAAAACGAAAAATTGTTGCTTATTGAAAAAAAAGGCAAGAAAACCGTCTTTCTTTTTTTTGCAGTACTCAGAAGGGTGTAGTTTCACCAAAAATTAAATCAGAATCAGGTGAACGAGAAGACACTTTCCTCTCTTTTCTTACCTCGAGAAACTTTAACTAAACATTCTTGTCCGAAAGCTGCCTCAGACCCACACTAGCCTTTCGGAAGATTACCCTCCACCCCTCCCCCGACCCCAAGTCTTACTTGTCACAACTCTTGAGTGGTCTACACCCACAAACCAAGTACAGTAAACAATGTCGCTAGTAAAAAAAACCTTTATTACAAAATATTTGCGGTTCTATTTACATTAAGCGTTGCTTTTCACTCCGATGATTAAAAATACTTCGCCTACCTAGTAAGCATCTTTGACCCAAAATTTATATTTGACTTGCAACTATTTATTTTGTTTAAATAAGTAAAATCTACCAAAATTAATGAAACTATATAAGCTAGTAAAACTATCAAAAAGACAGGCTTAAAGCTGGTCGGTGTCTCGGAGTTAACGCTTTAAGAAATATATGGTTAACTGACGAAGGCATTTCTAGTGTGGTCAACTTACAGCTTGGATGCTGTAAAGCTTCACATAGACTGGCAGCACCGGTATCAGTGATGTCAGTGTCCTCCAGATTTAGTGTGGTTAGCTTACAGCTTGGATGCTGTAAAGCTTCACTGAGACTTGCAACACAGATATCAGTGATGTAACCCAGATTTAGTGTGGTTATGTTACAGCTTGGATGCTGTAAAGCTTCACATAGACTAGCAACAACAGTATCAGTGATCCTATTTAACCCTAGATCTAGTGTAGTTAGCTTACAGCTTGGATGCTGTAAAGCTTCACATAGACTGGCAGCACAGGTAGCAGTCATACAACTACTTCGCAGTTCTAGTGTGGTTAGCTTACAGCTTGGATGCTGTAAAGCTTCACATAGACTGGCAACACTGGTATCAGTGATAGAACTACCCTGCAGATTTAGTGTGGTTAGCTTACAGCTTGGATGCTGTAAAGCTTCACATAGACTGGCAACACCGGTATCAGTGATCCTAGAATACCACAGATTTAGTATAGTTAGCTTACAGCTTGGATTCTGTAAAGCTTCACGTAGTTTGGCAGAACAGGTATCAGTGATCTCATTCAACCGCAAATTTAGTGTGGTTAGCTTACAGCTTGGATGCTGTAAAGCTTCACATAGACTGGCAACAACGGTATCAGTGATCCTTTTTAACCCCAGATCTAGTGTGGTTAGTTTACAGCTTGGATGCTGTAAAGCTTCACATAGACTGGCAACACCGATATCAGTGATCTCAATGTCCTCCAGACTTATTGTGGTTAACTTACAGCTTGAATGCTGTAAAGCTTTACACAGACTGGCAACACCGGTATCAGTGATCCCAATTTCCTTTAGACTTAGTGTGGTTAACTTCCTTTCTACTAATCTATTAATAACATCTACACACTTATTAGTCAAGTTACTCCCTGATAAGTTCAGTTCAGACATAAGACAGTGTTCATTGTTTAATGAATTACAGAGTCGTTGTATTCCAGACGGTGTTAGCCGTGATCTTCTCAGCTCTAACTTCTGAACTGTGACGAACTTATCAGAATATTTGTGTTGTGCCTCTCCAGCTTCTTCTTTATTTAGTTCACTCATTATGTCCAACACAAATGATGCTCCAATACAATCTACATCTGATAAACCGTTAAAAGCCATGACGCCGTCTAAATTACAAAAAGCTTGGGGATTATTCCTGATGAACTTTTTAGCGAAATCTTTGTTTTGATACTCAGTCAGACACGTCGTTTTAAGACAGGAATCCACGAAGGGTGAATCTAGTAATTTTTCCATCAGTTTCTTGTTTCCCTCAGTTGACAAAAGGCCAGCCATGAATTGGAAAACCATTTTAGAGCATTTCGCGTCTGGAAGACGATTTTCCTTTACAAACCAACGAGCGGCCAAGAATTCTTGGACGGTGAGATGTGTGAAGCTGAAGTGTTTCGTGGTTCTAATCAATGCAGTCCTGAAAGGCTGACCACAGTAAAGAAGACCGCTACCTTTCAGTTTGTTGACTTCTTCCGCGTCAAAATTGCCTTCCATCTCGCTTTCATCAAAAGTTGGCTTTCCTTCAACCAGCAGTTTAGCCGCTAGTTCTGATAATTTCTCTAACGTGTTCTTGATAACAGGAGGGGGCTTGAATTTCTCAGGAATTTCTTTCTGTCTATATTCTGACTCAGCGTTGTGCTTAAGTTCAAAGATATCAACAAGTTTGGTGTAAATGTCGGTTGTTGAAACAGGAAGGTCATCCCGATTTCCTGATTCGGTTAGGGTATACTCCATCTCGAAGCACAACAGATAACAGAGCATAGGAATATGAGCAAAACTGACAAGGTCACTATTGTTCATGACATGTTTAAGTACAGCGTTCTTCATATTTTCGTTTTTCTTGAAGTATTTCTCAATGAACTCCTTGACTTGTTCTGACGAAAATCCCGCAATTTCCACGTACCGTTTAAAACGGATTCCTCCCATCTTGTCCGATTCATCAGGTCGCGAGGTAATCATGACGATAGCCCCTTTCAAGATTTTTCCTTTGATGAGTTTTGAACATAATGCGGCCACCGGCATTTTACGTCTAGCGTCATTGGGATGCTCCTCTAAGTTTCCAGCGATGTAGTCTTGCTGTGAATACTCATCATAGCCGTCGAGGATGATCATAACTTCCTTGGGATGCTTTACAATGTACTCAAATGTAGAGTCATCAATGTTACATTTGTCATCCAGTACCGAAGACCAATTTAAGATTTCTCTTAAAGTCACACAGTTATTTTCAAGCAAATTCAATTGACGGAAAGATAGCAAATACACAAATTTTAAATTGGGGATTTCAGTGTTTTCTCGTGCTTGAAATAATTCGTTGTTGGCCCAATCGCGAATCACCTTTTGGCAAAACAGGGATTTCCCAATCCCTGCTTTTCCAACGACAAGAATAGAATTAGCACTCTCCTGATCATCAATCGCACCAAGAAATATTTCACTGCAGTGCTTGACTGGAGTACCGCTGACTTTTCCGTAGTACTCAAGCTCTTTACTCCTTGAATAATATGTCTCGTCATTCCTGATCAGGGCTTTTCTTCCATGTTGTATGAGAAGATTAGTGAATATTTCGTCTGTTTTCGCGTTGGAAATCGTGCGAGAGGCAAGCAGTTTGGGTTGGAACTCCGTTTGGCCTATGATGGAAGTCTTTAAAGCTGAAGTGTAGGCACTTACGGCTGAAATATAAAAAAGGAACATAATAAATAATATGAAGACGAGGATAGCAGTTTAAGTACTTTCACTCTTGCTCCACAGGGTTTAACTGTTTTGAGGGCAGGTCAATTAACACACAAGCTCTTAAGACAAAGATCTTAGGCTATATTGGTCTTACTCTTATTGATGAAAAAAGTATAACAAACTAAAGGCACATTAATACCACAAATAGTTCTAACCCTTAGAAGCTTAGTCTTGAATGTAAATTTCAAAGGCCGGTGTCTGTCAGAGAAACAATTCCAGTATTGGATATCAGAGCCCCAACTCATGGACCCTATAATGGTTAAAAATCGGTGGTGGTTTGGGGAGGAAGGCCCCCCCTCCAAGAGGTCCTGGCCCCACCCCCATCAGATCCACTTGTCTGACACCCAAATTCTTGAAACAACAGGATCACATATTACTATCCAATATGAAGCATTTAACAATTACTTTTCTAGATATAAGTCTTGGCCTATTGTGGTTTCAGAGTAAAAACAAAATTTCTGTGTTTTCTAAACAAAAATTGTGACCCCCTTCTCTAAAAAAAATCCTGGATCCACCTTTCAAAATTGTCTCTATTTGATAACATTAC